CGGTACTTTTCTATCACACAAAAGGCCCGAAACACTCCTCCACTTCAACCAACAAACTTGAATTCTACTATTAACATCCCCATCTATATCACCATCGCTTTGAACAACAGACCCAAGATATCTAAATCGATCACACCTTTTAATAATTTGATGACCCAAAGACACACTTATGTCACTAGAGCTATTACTACTAAAATTACATTCCATGTATTCAGTTTTAGTTCTACTTAAATGAAGGCCTTTAGACTCCAATGTAGACCTTTTTCTCTCGTTTTATCCACGAGAAGGATATCATTAGCAAAAAGCATACACCAAGGTACATCCTTCTGTAGATGTGCAGTAAGACCATCCATAACTAAAGCAAAAAGATATGGGCTTGAAGTCGATCCCTGATGTAATCCAACAGAAATAGGAAAATATTTGGTCAATCCTCCTTCAGTTTGAACACAAGTAACAACTCTAGCATATATATCTTTAATGACTTGAATATAAGACATATCAACACCTTTCTTCTCAAGAACTCTGCAAAGGATATCTCTTGGAACCTTATTGTAAGCTTTTTCTAAATCAATAAAATTCAAATGTAAATTCTCCTTATTATCTCTGCACTTATCCATCAAACCTCTCAATAAATGTATAGCTTTCATAGTAGACCTGCCCGACGTAAATCCAAATTGATTATAAGAAATCTTTGTGATGCGTCTTAACCTATGTTCAATTACCCTCTCCCATAACTTTAAATTATGAAACATCAACTTAATTCCTCTATAATTTGCACACTCTTGTGCATCCCCTTTATTCTTAAAAATGAGGACCAAAATACTCTTCCTCCACTCCTCAGACATCTTTTTATTTTTTAAAATGATATTAAAGAGTTTAGTAAGCCAAGAAACTCCCAAATCTCCCAAATATTTCCACTTCACTTGGGATATCATCAGGTCCTACATCCTTTCCACCCTTGGTTTTCTTTAAAGCCTCAACTTCTTTTTTACTAATGCGACGATAAAAAATGAAACGTTTTATTATTATTCAGGATATTAAGATCAATAAGGTCGATCGTATTATTCACGATACTAATGCTAGATTCCGTCGTCAGTCTCAATCTATGTCCTAGCTCTATGGCAGCCTACTTGTTTATAACTTTATCGGCCATAACTTCCCGCCCAATCCATTCTTTTCTTGACTTCTTACCGACATTTACTGTTAATTGTCAATCAAATTTCTCTTATTTGTCTGCTAACTCAACTGGGTTGGCCAATTGGGTGCCTAATCAAAGTCAAATTTAATATGGTTTCTACTCTTAATGAATTAATTTATGCATGAAGGATGCAAAGCTATAAAAGTTATAATTATTGGAGTTTGGGCTGTTATAGAAAAGCTGATAACTAAAGAGTTAGTTAATTTGGTGATGTGCAAAGAGCAATAAAGGAAGCATATTGGAAATCCTTAGAATTATTTCTATCTAAGTTGTGAACCAATGGTGTATTATTGAGGTGACATTTTTTTTGTTTAAAATTCTTTTAATTATATAAACACACCTACTATGAATTGTGAACATCAAATATGAGCATCCTTGGGGCGAATAAGTGATTACTGGAAGATCTTACTTTGAAGAAAGGTATTTAGAATATAGATATTTAGGGTAGAGATGTGAAATTGATTGTTTTTTTGTTAGTTCTCTCTATTATACAAAGAACCACTAGAGTATCATGTTTCTAAGATTTCATAAGTTCAAAAGATTGTCTGGGTTTTAGGAGATCAAAAAAGATCTCTCGATTGCAATTCTTTAAGCATATATATAGGTACCATATTTGGCTCTTTCCCCATGCAGAGGAGGGTGCATAACTCTGAGATTTTCCTACAAGTAAGCTGTTGGTTATACTTAATAAGACTTATTCAAAATCTTCATACTCATCGATCCATCACTTCAAGAGCTTTTTGTATCTCTAAATGTTTGTGAACTGTTGCTTTTAATTAGAACACCCGTTGGTAGAGCATATTGTATTATTGGTCTCACCTGACCAATTTGTTGTCTCTCTTATTCTCTATTTACTGTCTCAGTCGTCTCTACGGGAGCCATGCTAACTTATCTGATTGAGTGAAACAAAGAGGGTTGTAGGCTGTGGAATTGACTCGATATTATTTGGTCGATCTGGCTCAATCCTCAATGAAAGTATGTGTTTCTTTTGGTACTATTGAGCCAAGTGTATCTTGGTCTGTATTAATGGTTTGGGTGAAAAACTACAGGTAAACTTGTTCAAATAAAAATGATTCAGCATTTTTAGGTTATTTTGCGCTATTTGATTCTACGCATATGGATGAGATTCATTTTTATAGTTGGGCAGATAAAATGCCCACAGAAATGAATGAACATACCATATGTTAACTAAGATACTCACACTACAAAAAGTTACCAAGATTTGCATGATTCATCTAAAATAATTGCTTATTTTTACTATAAAGAGAGGAACTGATAAACTTTTAGGAAGCCACATGTATGCAAACAAAGGATTGCTTTTCCCTAAATCCAAATGCCCTCAGTTTAACCACAATGGGAAGCCACAAATCTCTCCAGCCAAACAAATTAAACATTTTTTTTTGTATCTAATTATGAGATAATAAACATATTAATATGCAGCTATTCTCTTTAATATCACTATCTAAGGTGAGCCATCTTCATTAAAAAGTCTACTTCTGCCATAGAGCTAAGCAAAAGAATAAAAAAGACTGCTTTATTTTCTGTATTTGTAACTCGATCAGATCCCTAATTCCATTTTCTCTTAGAGCCGACAACAAATGCAATACCAATCAATAGATATTTCAGTTCATTAACTAACTTTGTTAATCATGGAATTAATTAAAATAAACAATTTTCAGTCCACAGCACAGCTGCTCTCTCTCTCTCTCCATCCTCCAGTTTGTTTAGAATTTATGGAAGTTGAAATTCGAATTAAAATTTGTTTCAAATTTTAGTTGGAGCTTGTCCATAATAATGGAAATTTTTTGAACTTGTTTTATTCAAAAAAATAATTCATATAAGTTTGTATTTATTCTTAGAATTATTTGTTTTGAATTTTGTGCTTATCATATTAGAAATGGACATTTACATACATACCGCACAATTCTTATGTATTTACATATAAAATACCTAAAGTTTGATATTTGCATTTCTAATACTTTGGTGTTATAAACTTAGGTATGAAAATATGTATTTTACTTTTAAAAAGTTAGTAGTAGTGGTTTTTTTGATGTAATGTCAGATTCGAGTGCTAAGCATGTAAATATGAAAGTTTAGGTCTTACATATATAAATATATAAGAATAGTGTGTTATGTATGCCAATGCCCTTATAGAAAAATATAATTGATGCCATGACCTTATAGAAAAATATTATTGATGCCCATATCCTAACACACTATATAAATGATGAGGGAGAAGATAAATTTTGTATCAGGAGCTCTTCATCGCCAATTTGCTTTCAAATAATTTAGAATTTTTTAGGTAAAACTGAAGGTTTTTTTTTTAATTCTAGCTTTTTCAACATCGCTCCATATTGTCAATAGATACGTGGTCTTTTTGATTATCTTCTTCAAAACCTCAACTTCTATGCTTATATTCTGCTGATGTTTTTTGTTTAGAAACAGATAGTAATCCTTGAAATTGTCTTCTTTTTTGCACCTAGGACGACAACGTTATTATTATACAAGTAATAGAGTATCAGAACTATTTGAGAATTGTAGTTCATTTTAGTTTAGCAGATTCTTACAGGGGAAGTTAGTTTCATTCGGAAAATATATTACATCTCTTGTATCTGATGCAAAGCTCTCCATCATCCATATCGAAATAATAAAACTTATTACAACATTAATATTCAGTATTATCTGTGAACACCATGGATTGGAATAGTGGGAAAAAGATTGACAAGAAGATTACTTTAAGGAGGAGATGTGAGAATAGGATTTAGATGGAAGGCTTGTTTCTTATATTCTTGATTCAAATTGCCAAAATATCCTTTTTCTGGAGATCTAAAAAGACCCACTTGATTTTCTCATATTAAAAAAGGTCATTTAAATTGTATCAAAATTAGTATTTTTATGCTGCATGGATCATATCTCCTTAAAAAAAGGATAGTATCCGATCTGTGTTACTTGTTGGATCTTGGCCGACTCATCGTGCATCTAAATGCCTATTTGGCAAAGCCGAGTAAACCTTGCATTTGGACTTTTTATTTTCTTGTGGACATATGTAAGAGCATGTTGCTTCCTTCTTAGGCAGCTAGATAGGCAATGCTTATTTTGTAGTGGCATTTCTTTTGAGCAAGCTTTTATGCATATGGCAATGCTATCATATCTTTTTTCTTGAGATCTAAAAAGACCCACTTGATTTTCTCTTATTAAAAAAGGTCATTTAAATTGTATTAAAATTATTATTTTTATGCTGCATGGACCATATCTCCTTAAAAAAAGGATATTATCCGTTCCGTGTTAGTTGTTGGATTTTGGCCGACTTGTTGTGCATCTAATGCCTATTTGGCAAAACCGTGTAAACCTTGCTTTGGACTTTTGATTTCGTTATGGACATATGTTAGAGCATGTTGCATCCTTCTTAGGCGGATGGATAGGCAATGCTTGTTCTGTGGTGGCATTTCTTTTGAGCAAGCTTTTATGCATATGGCATTGCTATCGATGGGCTTTCTCTTTCATTGTTAGTTTATTTATTTCCTTCCAAGCTTGTTATGCTGGTGATTAGGAAGAGGAGCCTATATTTAGTCATTTGGCTTCTTGTTCAACTCTCTGACTGCTGTATGAACATAAAAAATAAAGTTTTATTGAATGACTTCTTCCACATGCGCAATCTCTAAAATTTTGCTGTTTATTTATTTATTTCATTTTGTTAGACCTGACCTGAAGAAGTCTACATTCACATCTTCATTCCAAGTTGCCATGCACGGTAAATGCAAGTTAAACTCCTTTTCATATGCGTCATTGTCAATGTCACCAGGAAAGTGGTATCAATGGCCTGAATAGTAAAACTCATATGAAGATTATTCTAAAATGGATGAGGGGAAGAAAGATGCTAAAACTTTTCTGCACCCACCATGGTTCCACTAAAAGATTTCTCCACTCTACACTACCTGAAGATTCACAGACCGTCCCTGCCCTACGTGATAGTTCTCCCACACCATCTTCAGAATCCCCAAAATCATCGAAGAAAGAAAAGTTGAGAAAAGATTACAAGAGACTTCTTGACCCGGTTGCAAATTAGGTGTTTTGCTGTAGGTTTTGACTTATTTGACAACTTTTTTGCTGCTATTTTGTATTTGTAAAACAAAAGAATGATTCCATTTTGTGGCATATACTTGGGCAGATGCTTGGTATTTTATGATTATGAGTTGTTGCAACCTAACAGAATAAAATTGGGGTCATTTTTTTGGAAGCTCAACAAACTTGATGCGTAGTGTTTTTATTTTATGCTTTCTAACATGATGCACACTGCTACTATAAAACTATATATTTTTAAAGTTTCCTTCACAGAAACTTATCGGTAAATATTCTTATTTTGATTATTTCATTTTTTTGTGTGTAGTGGGGTTGTTACATTTAATTGATGAAATGGCAAACTTTCGGACGGTTCAAGTGTTTGAGTTTAAAATAGGGACCTTTCTTATTTATTTAATTAGGTTGGAACTTAAAGTTGTTTTATTTACTTTAAGAGAAGTTTATTGCACTAATCCCAAAGTAGATCTAATGATATTGAGAGCTATCTTAACCATTAGCAATATCATCCTAATACAAAATTCTCTCGATATTTTCTTTGTTCATGTCTTCCTTCGAGCCCCTAAGTTTTGTTTAGAAATTCTATGTTTGCACAAAATAGCTATTATTATTGTTGGTATTTAAATAGATTACTTATTGTGCAAGTGTGTTATTCATAATTCTGAAGGACCTTAACATCATGTGGAATTCGCTTCACATGTTTTGAGCATGCATTGGAATTATTACACATTAATTTTGGCGGTGTATAAGAAAAATATTTAGAGAGAATAACGAGTCAGCGGTTTTTGGTCCTGACAGATATTTGCCACCTTTCCTTTTGTGCCGCAGCACTTATTGGGCATACATCAATAACTTGTCGTTTTGGTCTTTAATTGTGGAATGAGTTAATAAGAGAAGTAATTGGCGTTGAAGAATAATTAGATTTCTTGTGCCCGTTGCTCTCAGGGTCTCATGGCCGGCCTCATCTCCGCAACTTCCTTAACAGAGAAAAAAAATACTTGCTTTATCATGTCATTGTTGTTGAATTCAAAACCATATCAAATTCAACTTTTTCATGTTTTTATGTTGAATGATTTGTCGAATCAAAACACTATACTTTTTAGTTTTTGGTTTTAAATTTTGGCAATTTCATTGATTTCAAAATGATTCTTTAGTTTCGCTGATTTCAACAGTTTCTGGTGAAATTTTTTAAGTTGTCGATAAACTTTTACTAAAATGTTTTTTTTAAGTTATATTAGACTTGTGTCAATCTTCTTCGTCAAGTCTGTTTGTCTGATGATTTGTTTTATTCATCCCATCCAAATTTTAATTTCGAAAGATTTACGTGCATACCACACAATTCATGTCTATTTAGATATCTAACACCTAAACTTCAATTTTTTAAACACATAATATATATATATATATATATATATATAATATATATATATATATACATCATTGTTGGATTTATTAAATCCAAATTTAACTTGAATTGAAGTAAAAAATCAAATCTTAAATCCAAAATTTCATAAATTTATACAACTTATGTTTGGCTCGAACTAGTAAATCCAACCATAAAGTAGTGGATATCAAACATCGCCTAACTGCTAACAGTTAATATTTATTATAATCACTCACTGGATGCCTGTTGACCCACATTTGAATTTCACATTAACCACTAACAGCTAATTTTTATTTCGCTTACCGGAGCATGGTTATTTTTTTCCTTTAAACTAGAGATGTTTTGGTTTATGTAGCAAATGTTTTTTTTTTCTTTTTTAATTTGAAAAGAACATCTTAAAATTTACAGTACATCTGTTAAGTTTGCCTCAATAATGTTGCAAAGAAGTGAAAGTAGGATGCTTCGAGCTATTGAGGGTTTTACTATTTAATGTAATTTAGATTAATTTTATGAAGTAATTTACCGGTTCAAACGTCAGAAATTATGCATGTAGGGTTTTCTTAATTTTTATGCATGGAGAAGGGTTGTAGCAGAATTGGTTGTTGTTTTGCTGTTTGATTTATCATATATAATAATCCTTGATGTTACCTTCAAAAGTTAATTTGGATGAGTTTCTAATTATGTACATTGATAACAACCCTCAATTTGTGCTGCTAATTTTATAATCTATACTATGTAATTTTGTACTTTCTAATTTTAATAACACACAATCAACCTATTTAATACCACCAAACTCATCACTACCAACTACACATGGAACCTTCATGTTCTTGCTCTTGTTGAAGGATAAGTGCTAGAATGTTTCATTAATGCTCAACATTTTTGCCTTTCATCCACCACAATCATAGATGAAACCTCCTCGCAAAAAATCCTAATCATAACACATGGAATGTCAGAATCTCCTTATGTTTAGTTCCCTTCGGAGAAACTATCAATCGGCCCTGGCAATACGTGCAAAACATCTTGATGTTGCCTTGAGCAAATTAAGGAACAAGTCAATAATTGCATCAAGAGATTCCACATCATCATTAAATATATGAAGTTTATCAAGAATCAGTCCAATGAATTTGCAATTGTAGGGAAGTCCATAAATGATGAACATCTTATTTACAAGATTCTTGATGACTAAAGTGCATCGAGAACCAAAAACTTATTGAACTGATCAATGCTCCAGAAGCATTATTTTTTTGTAGTAAGCTCCATTAAAATCTCATCAATCAAGGAGCCTTTTTATGACAATGACTAGTATCATCACCATCACTTCTTGTCATTGCCAATTCAATTGCTCAATGCAGCAAACAAGCTTAGTGGCTATCCTTTTGTGGGCCTTTCAATGTTGTGTGCAAATTATGGAATTCGTGATGATCATTTGCCAACTTGACCATATCATAGCTATTGCCATAATGTGGGGTTCAAGAAAGTGTTGTCCCACCTCATGTCTTGCCATTTCACAACCCACGTCAAACAATTGGTTTTTGGCTCCACATTCTCCAGCATCAAAAACCTCTACTCCATGGCAAACTTGAGCCCATTATGAAACCATCATCGCTATCACCATTACTAACAATCTCTCTTGGTAACTCAGTAGTGAGGGCATCTCCATCAAATAAATAAAGTCATTCCATTTTTATCCATGTCTCCCTTCCTCTCATATACTAGAATTATGCCCTTTCCAGTATAGATTATGTCATTAAGTGTATGCCAACACACAACCTGCACCTATGCTCTCTATACATAGAACCTGTACACAACTGGGCAAATCTGTATAAAAATTTATGTGAATATTATATGTTTATCTTCTCTTTATTTTGTTTATTCATGGTGATTTCTATTAAGTCTCTTCTAGTTCATTCTAACTAGTATTAGAGCTTGTAGTTTTTATTGAGAGTGATGTTTTAAGAAGAATGATCAACATTGGGGATCATGAAATTTGATGGAATGGGCATGGCATTATGGAGGATATACGCTAATAATTATATACAGCGCACAAAGATGTTTTTGCTCTTGGATGATATAAATGTAATAAAATGTCTATCAACTCAGATGATGTCTGTGAAAAGGAAAGTAAATTGGAGATCAAGGGAAAATTGAAGAGGATTAGTTTTTGATTTGTGTCATGATAGAACTTGATAGTAACAAACCCAATTGGCTTGACTCTTTGTTGACCTCATTTTTGAGGTCATTACTCATTCCCTTAGGATCCTAGGATCTAGCTCTAGGAGTTCCTATATTGACTATCTTAGAAAGCTAGAATTAGGACCCACACTTTTTTTTTAGAAATTTCAGCCACTTCCTATTTTCCTGTGATGTCTAGCATTTATGGTCTCAAAACAATTGTCTTATGGACGAGCGGCTAATGACTATTGTGTGGAGACTCAGGGAGAAGTTCCCAAGAGGATTTCAAGCCCTAGAAAAATCACTTTATGACTCTATCGTCACACACACACCAAATGCACAAAATTTACTAAGTCACACGATATATGACTTCAATTGAGTCTAAAGGATGGGTGAAAATGCGAACTTCTCCGGACGACCTTCAATGAAAAATTGGACTGCGCCAACACGTCCGGAATGCCAAAAATACCTAGAAAAGACATCCATATTCGATATGTTACGACGCACAAATAAAACACAAATTCAATTTTTATTTTTCAAAATATTAAATACTTTTATAAATTTTACCCCTAAATTATAATCTCATTAAACCCTAAGCCCTATCTAGGTTTTCACCCTCAATCGTTCGAGCCATCTCAGGGCTCGATCCCGCGGCTCGTCCCGCTCCCTCTCGCCCGTGCCCTAGCCTCCACCGTGGATCCACGCGGCTCCCGTCTTCTTCCCTGTCTCTTCCCCTTCCTTACGTGCACGACATCCGTTCAGTTCTCCAATTAGAACAGGCGTGCTGGCCGACGGTCCTTCTACTCGAGGCAATAGCCGCTCCTCTCCTTTATTCCGCCGTTTCTTTCTTTTTTCCCCATTCGTTGGCTAGGGCGGCAAACAGATGGCTGTTTTTCTCTTCTTTTGTCTATAAAACCCCATTCGGGGGAAGATCTAGGGTTGGCTGAAATTTCCTGAGAAGGGGAGGTGCTGCTATTTTTTTTCTGGTTGGTTCCTCTTTTGTGGGGTTCATCTTGTGTGTGTGCTTGAAATATTTCTAGAATTTTGTTTTCTTTTGAAAAAAAGAGGGTCTGAAAGAGAAGAGAAAAGAGAGGACTTTGAGAGAGGAAGGCTTTTGGAGAAATTTAGCACTTTCTTTCTTTCTTCTTCACTGTTGGGAAGGCTTCCTCCTTCTGCTTTATTGTTCGAGTGGAGTTCTTCTTCCTCTCTATTGGTCGATACTCTTGTGGTTAGAGTCTGTCGAGCCGGGAGCTAGAAACCGTGGGGGGCTATTTGCGTAGGGCTCTCAGGAAGGATTTCTGTGGGGGTGTTTTCTTCAATTTATTTTAGTGTTTTGCTACACTACAGAGGTATTCTTCTCCTTCTCCCTATTCTATTTTATCTAGGATGGCATGTTGAGGCATTTCTAGTCTCTTGCAAAGGTTAACGGAGGAATGTCTAGAGGAATGACTTAGTTTATATTGAAGTCTAGGTATTGATACATGCTGGAAATTATTTTTTTTATAAGTTGGAAAATCATGTTTGGGGCTCATTTTTTGCTCTTCTTGCTGCATCTTGCTAAAATACATGCTGAAAATTATTTTTATAAGTTGGAAATCATGTTTGGGGCTCATT